GATAACAAATGAAAGGAACTAATGTACCAAAAATGGTTTTCCTTTGAAAACTGTTTCCATGTCTCCGGCTACATTGGGTATAGTGTAGGTACATAAAGGTAAAGACAAATGTAAAATTTAAATTTGCATTCTTACACTAAAACTGTATTCTCTAAGGAATCAAAAATTTTAATATGAAAGAATTTTAAAAACTATCATGGTATAGAGTCAGGGGTAAAACRTCATCTCGCTTCAGGCTTATTCACTTGAAGGTCACAAGTTGTGCAATTTTATTGGTCATTTCTTTCATAATGGCATCACTTTCCTTCCACTACCAAAATGCTTCATTAATTTTTTTCCCCAATGGGAATAGCAAGACAGTTGGGATGAATGAAATCATGCATGGGAGAGTCTGGGTATGGTATAAATGACACTGTAACACACATGGCCTGTTAATATTCTTCTTAGATCATAATGATATTCATATTTATCATATAATTATCCATAAAATACCTAYATTKSYYCYTTTTCGAAAAACTGATATTTTCACATGTGAAAATAACTAAAAACTTTTTAAAATAACAAAAAGCTTATTAAGTTGATTTTATGGATAATTATATAACAAACAGAATATTACATGGACACTTGGAGATACGAAATTTATCTTCTCGTGTTGAAAATCTCTCACTTGTTCGCTGCACTCACTCATGAGAGATCTTTTCAACACTCAAAGATAAATCTCGTATCTCCGTGCGTCCATGTAATATCCTCTATATATTTGAATATTAATATTTATGATAATCATATATATATATACTTTTATCATCACACAAGTATTTGATATAATGAAATCCTACTCATTTTTTGTTATGTTTTATCAGTATAAAAAATAAAAAATACCAATAATTATCATCAGTCTATAAAACAATTATCATTAATGTTTAAAACTACAATATAGAGCCTTTTTTCTTTAGAGCAAGAATGCCATCTTAAAGCTTACACTGTTCAAATTATTTTTCTAAAATACTATATGACAATAWAATTGTAATAACAGTTGTTTTTTTACAGAGTGATTTATTTCACCTGTTAAAGGGGGACTAGCACGTAGATTGTCYGAATTTTAATTCAGCTGAAACTGAAAATTTTCGTGCTAGTCCCCCTTTAAACAAAGTTTAGCATTCACTAACTGTAATGTTTTCCCCCACTGTTTTTGTTAGTGTGAACAAAGGAACAACAACAAYGAAGAAAGGATGTGCTCTACTTCTACTCATGGATTACACCATATTCATATATTCCACCAACACAGCCCAAGATGTTATGGTTTTTGACTTCTATCAAGTGAAAGATAATTCCATTGGGAATTTGATTGAAAGATGTTTTGCAAATACCCCGAGGTCTTGGGTAGTGTTGGTCAAGCACATTCAAGCACAGCTTTAAAGAGTGAAAAAAAAATCATGCATAAGAAAAATGCCAGAAAAAAATTCCAATTTATGTCCAAAAAAAATTCCTGAAAAGCCATGAGGAGTAAAAAAAAATTCCTGCACAAAATAAACCCCCCCTCAAAAATCTAACGGTCCGTCCCTAAGGGATGGACAATTAGGTTATTCAGGAGAGGGGGRATGTGGGAAATAATGTTGCACTATATTTATATTTTGGTAACAACCTCGGCATGCACATAATTTGTTTTGTTGACTAGATATGTCTTTTCTGAAAGGAGAGGTTGCAAGATATTTTTTTGTAGGAGAAATGTTTGCTTGATATTTTTTGGGGGACTTACACAACCCTTCCCTCCCAATGGTCCATTCCTAAAAGTGTATTATTTACCTTTATGTAGATGTATTCTAGACAGAAAAGCACTATCAATAATATCTACCTAAAGATTATTCTTTCAACTGCTGAGAGATGTGTTAGAGTTTGACTCTTTCTTCTGTGTTTCCCCAAGTTTTAGTTTTTTCTCCACACAGCRCAGTTGGTTAAGAAGTTCTTTATTTTTTTCTTCTTGTGCAAAGGAAATGAGATGCCTGTTAATCAGAATTGCATCTTGATAGTTACCAACAAGTCTTTTGGAGAATATGCTGGTCTCAACATTTTGTAGCAGATCAAGGAGCTCGTTATCCTGCTTGTCTTTTGCGAAAGAAATTAAATGTCTATTCAACTGCGCAGCTTCRAGGTAAGTATTCACAAGTTTTCTTGGACTCGATTTCTTACATGGAGTAGGTTCCTCAACAGTAACTGTTTGTGTTTGTACTGGACTCTTGCTGCTCTCTTCAATTACAGGTAGTGTATCATGATTATCACTGAAGTCCTCAACCAACCTCTCTTCCCACCCTTCTGACAAATCATCTGATGTTTGGAGACTTGCGTCAAAGCTCACATACGCTTTGGATGTCATAGGGTGTTCGATCTGGAATTTAGCAAGAAATGTACTCAAAAGGAGTTGAATTTCTGTTTCATCTACAGCGTTACTGACATCCGCCACATTATTTGGCAAGCTGTCATGCAGGTATACAGTATATAGGTCACCACTAGYGTTCTGACCAGGTTCATCACCATTTAAAGCAGTAAATGCCATGGAATAAGATGAAAGTGAATCTGATGCTGGTGAGCTGTGGAATCCAGCAGCTTCAAAGGCCTTTTTCACTTTGTTGGAGGGTATTTCATGCACAGCAGAAGCAATCCACTTGCAAGCTTGTACCTCGTCAATGTGCTGGAATAACTCTCTCGCATGTTGCACCTGATTGCATTCCTTGTTCATCATACTCAACAATACATTTTTTCTGTAATTGTACCTAAATGAATCCGTTATCCCAAGCTTAAGAGGATGGACGTCTGGAAGGTTGGGCTGTGGTTTGATTGGGAAAAATACTAGTTTTATATTAAATAGCTGAGGATGGGGAGGGTGTGCTGTAGAAATCCCTGCAAAGAGAATTACATGTCTATCTTCGTTTCTAAGCTTGTTATCGAAATCATGCAGCCATTTTTCAAATATAATACTTGTCATCCAAGCCCTTCTGTTTGATCTCCACGTTACTGGACCATTATCTAAGCTTGCACTTTTCGCACACTTCCCAACAACAACAGGAGTTTCAAATTCCCCGTTCATATTGCAACAGAGCAAAATAGTACATCTCTCACTTGAACTTTCAATGGTGTCCCTTAGATCGAGGGTTTTATCCGGAGGGGTTCGGAATAACAGCCCGATTTCTTGTATAGTATAAACATCATTCGGTCGGTAGCCATCTGTTAGCTGTTGTATTGTTTCCGGCCACGATTTGTCATCATTCAATCCAAAAGTTTCCCGCACTCCAAAGTGGATATCATATCGCTTTTTAAAGCTTTCAAGCCATCCATTCGATGCACGAAAGTCTTTGGCGTCGAACTCTTCGGCAAATTCCCTGGCTTTTGCTTGTAAATTTGGCCCAGTGACTTGGAGGTTCTGTGATCTTTTGTGTTCGTACCAATGCCACGTGAGTTTGTTGATGTCGTCGTTCCCATATCGAAGCCGAATCCTCTTACGAGCGCGACTTTCGTCGCCATTTTTAAACGCATTGAGGATCCGATCTTTGTTCTTTAAGATATCATGGACGGTTGTTTTGCCGATATTAAATACACCAGCTAAATAGCGATGACTTTTGCCACTGTTGCTGCTCTCTTGAATCAGTTGGACTTTTTCTCCAAGACTCAACTCTCTTCGTTTACGTTTGATAGAATTCGAACTCCCTGGACTTGCTCCTTCAGTTGGTTGAACAAGAGCTTCTTCAGAGACTTTGACGAGTGTCTCGATTCCAATAGATTCGGCATCGGCAGCTATCTCTGTTTCCATTTTGTTTTTTTCTTACCCCAAAGAGGTAAAAACTGAACAGACCYCCATTAACTCAAAGCCCCAAGTATACTAGTCTAGTGCGCATGTCTGGTGAGAGAAAACAACAGGAAACCCAATAAGGATTTTTAGCGGGCATACAACTTACTGACTCTTTTACTAGTGCTTTGACCTTTTACTAGTACTTTTTTCCTAGTTCAAACCAAACCTATTGAGAATAATATTCTTAAATTGAATCACATCCAAAATAATGCCTCTAAAGCGGCAGCAAACAAATAAATAAAATAATAATGCTCACTTGGCATGAGCATGTTAAAGAAATTGGCATGGAAGAGTGAGAAAAGACTGAATACATTATCATATAATAGTAATATTTTATTTCATGTGCTTTTGCTGATGTGGGACTGCTTTCGCTCAAACTCACTACCGCTACATTTCTACAATTTTATACACACAACGCTCGACTCACATGTTGATTTTACGGAGGGAGGAAAACCGGAGAACAAGGAGAAAAACCCTCTTGGCGCAGGAGAGAACGATACATCAAAAAAACGTGGCGACCGCAGCACCAGTGACCCGACCTGTTGGAGTCACAGCGGTGAAAGACGACGCACTAGCAGCGTACGTACTGTACGACACCTCCACCCATAATGCTCATAAACATAAATTGTGTTTTCGATATATATTGTGGCGGGGAGGGAAGGCTGTCAGTGAGGAGGGACTTCTGAACTCCCCTTGGCAATTCTTTTTTATCTCGGTTTAATTACAGCAAAAGTAGGACTTTTTAAAACACACGGGGTGTACATTTCGCCACTCTTCTCAAGAGGCAGCCAGAGACAGCTAAAAAATAGGCTATAGTATGTCAACATTGGGAGAAGTTTATCACGCCGGATCACGTTATAAACGGACCGGATCTTGCATTCAGTTTGATCAAACGCTTTTTTTTATTAAAACAAGCAACATGTGAACGACTGATGATCTTGTTACCATACTGCATGACTAAACATATAATGTTGTTTGAATATTTGTTATAATTTTTCTTCATAACTATCTTAAGGGACCATTTATTATCTATTGGTTTGGGGTTGGAAGATATACGGATTCTGAAGTTTAAAACAACACCATTTTTTTAGCCCCCCTTCGCAAACTGATGTTTTTGTGCCCCCCTCTCAGAATTGCAGAATATGAGGTAAGTAGTTGGTGCACAATTTTTTATAGCCCCCTCCCCTCCTAATATAAGTGCTGCTTGCATTGACCCAGTGGACTCCCTTAAAATCCCAAGAGCCCCTCCCCAAGCAATGGATTATGAACGGTCCCTAATAATTAACACAACTTTAGTGAGCTAATCCACCTATTCATAAAAACATAATTATACCGAAATCCCAACAAAAGTAGCCTTCTGCGCAGCCGCTGTGAGGCGATTGCGGCAAGAGGCTAAACAGAAGACGAGTCTCTCGGTTTGAATTATGGGCAAACCCAGAGTCTTGGCGAAGCTAGCGCGGGACTGAAATCATCATTCACTACCCTCCCCCTCCCCCAAGACTTTGCCTCTAAACATAGAATATATTACTTATGTATAAAAACGAGCTATTCCATAAATTAAACCCCAGTGAATATGAGTTGGATAGATTGGATATACAGGTACAGTTTATTTTGTGAAAGAAGCACTAGCCATGTACCATTGCCAGTCAATGTTCGTCTCTGACTTCATCACATAGCTCCTCGGTGGAGCTATTCTTTCTTTCTATTAAGGTCGAAACTAGCTGACAAAACTCCTCTAGCAAAGGATTGGCTAAAGTCCAAAGTTTAAGACGTTTTTTTATGGATTCAGTAAAACGTTCAATTCAATGCAAATGGTTCCTCTTGTTTCCAAGCTTGTAAAAAACTGAAAGGTAATTAGCAATGTTTCCACAGAAACTCGAGTTAGATTTCTATGAATGTCATATGATTTATGTGTTACAATGATGCACTGGAATCATATCTTTTCTAAGTATTTGCCAGCAATAATGCCAGTGTTTAGGTTTATTGATCATATTTTCCCATTGTTTGATCTCAAGCCCAACTGCGTCCAGCATCACACATTCCAGGTTGTCACCCAGCGCTTTTTCTATCTGAGTCTTTTTAGCTTCTTTTTTTCGATCCTTTTGAAGCTGTCGCTCTGAAGCTGCTCGATTCCATCGTTGGGAAAACCCTGCTGAACAACTAGTAGAGGAACGGTTATTTTCTGATGTTTTGTTCGAGTCAGCGGAACTGCTTGATGTACTTGCACTTTCTTCTCTCGCGTTTTCATTCTCGGTATTACGAATATTCTCGGGCTCTGTGGGTTTGCTTTGCTTTTCAGACACCTTACTAGCGCTTTGCTTTAAATTCCCATTGGTTTGATGCAAAGGCTTTCGTAGGCTGGTTTTTGCGCTATTCCCGTTAGCATCTAACCCATTCTCTTTACACTTTCCATTACCCGTCTCTCCACCATTCTTMTGAGCTGTTTTACTTGATTCTAGACTGATGGAGGTTTCTCTCGTGTTTTTAGTGTCAGTTGATTCATATGAAGAAGTTTGATCTTTCTGTTTCGTCCACGACTCTCCGTCTATTGATGTTTTTCGAAACCCTGGATCTCCCGTTTGTAGATTATTCACAGCAGTAGACACAGAACCTTTAGAATTCTCTTCGCAGACAGACTCGGGTGAGTTTGAATTGCCTGCAACATCATTACCTCGGCGAGTATTGGCCCCTTTTTTTGAACAAGATGAATTTTCTTTTGTGTGTATGTCATTTAATGCATCGAGGTGGTTAAGTTCTTCGGTACTCGTCAGATTCCAAGTTTTCTTGATGTCAACATCAGGATTTACAGATGGCGTCTTTGGCGGGACTGGTTCCTCTGTTTCCTTGGAGGGGTCGCTTCCATTGACCTGTGCAAGGTGAAACGCTCTTTTTTCTTTCTTCTCCACGGCTATAGCAAACCGTGCCAAGGTTGTGAACTCCGAGTCATTATTTTTGTTGTCCTTGGTTGCATTTTCATTGCCATCTTTTTTAAGAGGCATTGCAAATAACTGCGTTATAACTTTTGATGCTTTTTCTGCCTGGGCGGCCATGATTTTCGAATAGCCCCTACTYAGTCTCAGTCCTCCGAAGAATTTGTTTTTCTTCTTATGGTTATTCAAGAAGCATATTTCCAACGCTTGTTTCTTAATTTCCAGGAAACTTACTCCGACAATCAAAAACTGTTCATTCCAGAATGGATTCTTTCCTTTTCTAGAGCTTGATTTGCACTTGGCTTTCTTACAGTTTGGCAGTAAATAGCTGATAGAGAAAGAAGAACGATTAGGGACTGATTGCTGCTTGTTGTGCTAAGATGTGGTTTGGTGTAATATGGTTTGCTGTGATTTGTTAAGTTGTATCGTAGCGCCGCGGTTTTGGATCGTTGATAAGACGGCATGTTTGCGTTTGCTGTCTTAGCTGCTGTGGTGGCTTCGGTGGTGATGCGCTATATTGTGTCACGTTGTTTTTTACTGCTTTAATTTGCGGAGCAATGCATTGTTTTGTATTAAAATGCGAACTGTGTTATGTTGTGTTGCGTTGTGTTGTACTGGACATGGATTGTCGATCTTGTATTGTAATGTGATGCATTGTGTAGCATTAGTTGTATAATTGTTTTGTTTTGTTTAGCTGAGCTGAGCCTTCCATTTTTTTGGGTGCACCAGTTTTGTTATGCTATTTCCATTATGTTTTACTCTTATTTCTAAGATTTCAATTTCTAGTTCATTTACATARGTGTTTATGCATACACATATACAATTTAGGATACTACCGACCTGAAGGGCGGCTAGAAGGGCGGCTAGAATGACGGCTACCGGAAGTAAATTCGCACCTATGTTTACCTAATTAGCATATGCTCTTGCCCCGCGTCCACCACACATGGACTTGATGGCGGTAAAACAGGTCAGTTTGGCGGGCTCTGGAAAACATGGAATTATTCTATACTTTTTGCAATTTTAAATACCTGTCTATGACAGCTGGTAAATCTTACATGTTCTTTGGTGTATAAACTCGACATGTGAGTAAATTTCCAAGCTTTTTACTCAGTTTAGAATGTATTTTGGAAGCTACAGAAGCGAAGGAAGTCAAGAACAAGACGATGTCTACTGCTACTAAAATATCAAGGTAAGAAAAACAATTCCTTATTTTATTATTTATAGTTTTTGTAGTTATAAAATTGATTATTACCATGTAGCATAAGGCATGGAAGTACATTTTCCCGTACAATGGCACTAAAGATTGTCAGTGAACAATTAACTATGCATTTAAGGATATTTTTTAAGAATGTAAAAGAATCGTTCATAACTCACTTTCCATATTCGTTGTACGAGAGGTTTTCCGATGTACTTCAGTAGTTGTACCCAAATTAGAAATTTATCCTCTTCAATCATATTTAAAGCAAGCAAGAGCGATAAAACCCCTAATTTCACACAAAAAACAACACATCTAAGATATAAACATGCTTCTTAATTTTTAAATTTCGCTCCTCGCTATTCTTCGATTGCACGTTACGTCATCGCGGCCATGTTGGTGCCATTTAACAAAAGATTTCTCATTAGCACCCATTGTAAACGGCACCACAATGGCCGCCATGCCGCTTTTGTCTTTTGACTCTCTTGGGAATGCTTGCAATCCATCAATAGGGCTGTGGTCGTCCTAGCAACCGTCGACGGTCGATTAAGGTCCCTGTAATATCTCTATTAAAGTGCACCTAACCCCTTATGCAATAATTTTATTATTTATTTTACATAAAGTAAATAGTTGAATGGGGAAATATTACTTCATCCACAGGGAACCCGGCTATATTTTATTTGCTTCTTTTAGAAAATTAACTTTGCTCTTTGTGGGTTTCCTGCGTTGTGATCAGTTTCCGTTTACGAGCTGTAATCAGATCGGCGCTGTAAACTGACAGCCCGTTGGTGTTTTGTTACTTATGGGTTGCCTGTGGTGTGTAACGCACTTTCTAGTGCGTTAC